GGGGGGGGGGGCTTGGCTTCCCGCTGTGGCTGCAGGCTTCCGAGTTGTTCAATCCCGACTTCGTGGCGCGGATGATGCCCAGGGTGGAGTGGTTGATGCTTCTGGAAGCGGCCGAAACCTTGCATCTGACCGAGGTCCCCAGCGCGCCGGAGGAGGGATATGAGCGGGATGAAGAATTTCGGAGGAAGATGGCCCACGTGCTGCTGGAGGTGGGCTTGTTAGAGGGCACCCTGCAATGCCCAGAGTCCAGAAGGCTCTTCCCCATCAGCCATGGAATCCCCAACATGCTGTTGAACGAGGAGAAAACGGAGACTTAAGCCAGCCAGGCACCGATTCCATTCTGTGACCTTGTAGCTGTTGTGTCCCTTGTATGTTGGCTGCCTGCCTTTCATTTGTATCCACGACCCTCCACCCAGTGACGCGCAACACAAAGAGTGTCCTTGAGCTTGATAGCATATATATTTTTTCAAGGTTCAAAACAAACAAACAAACAAAAAGCCATTAGGGCAGAGAACGGGTTGTTAAGTTATGTAAGTCTCACCACCAGTTGCATCCACCCCCAGCTGCAGGTACTGTTTAGTGAATACTGTCTTTTGGTTGGAGGTGGGTTAATCTTAACTTCTGAAGGGAAGCGGCAACAGTTGTTTGTTCATGAATTCTACCAGAATCGCAAGATTAGTGCAAAAGAGGAGCAAAGTACAGGATGCCTCAGCTAGATACTGTGGCACAGAGCAGCATCAAATTCAAAATGATAATAATTTAAGGGAATAATGGTCAATGGATGTAAATTTAGTAGACAAAATAAGATATTTTTAGAGCCTCAAAAAGGACCTCCCAATGAGTACTTAGGAATACAAAGGCTAAAATTCTTAACTTTTCAATGGGTAAAAGTGGAATACATGGAAGTAAAGCACGATCAATTACCCAAAAACCACTCAATCCAAATATAAGATCAGCACATTTTATTGCAATTTAACATCATTAAAAATTTAAAACCACAAACTCATTGATGTTCAAGGCTGCTCCCTAAATCCTTATTTGTGATACAAAAGCTTTGAGGTAAATTTAGCATGGACTTAGAAAGTACACACCTGCACAGCTGCTCATGAGACTGAAGAATTAGCCATTCATTAAGACAGATGTATACTTACGATGAAATTGTTAGTTTTCCAAAACGCACGAAGTAATTTTCATGATACCTTCTTTCCACTTCTGTTGCCTTCTTACTCTCTGAGATGCTTTCTCTTAGGAAAGACTTCAAGGAATTTGTAGTTTGACGCATCAGTATGTGGAAAACCATCCTTACTTAACATTTCTCTTTACCGCAAGTGTGCTTGTGCATAGAGAAGTCTGAGGACCAACGAAAGGTTTTGCCACATTCCTTACACTCATAGGGCCTCTCTCCACTGTGAATTCTCCTGTGTCTGATGAGGGATGAATAATGAGAAAAGGCCCTGCCACATTCTTTACATTTATAAGGCTTCTCTCCACTGTGAATGATCATATGTTTAATGACATTTGAGGACACACTAAAGGCTTTCCCACATTCCTTACATCCATATGGCTTCTCTCCACTGTGAGTTCTCATATGACTACTGAGGGATGAAGACCGAACAAAGGCTTTCCCACATTCCTGACATTCATAAGGCCTTTCTCCATTGTGACTGCTCATATGTGTTCGAAGGTGAGATGGATAGCGAAAGGCTTTGCCACATTCTTTACATTCATAGGGTTTCTTTCCAATGAGAGTCTGCACTGGGGTCCTGGGGCAAGGAGGCCAACTGCAGGGTTCTTCGCATCCCTTATCTTGATAGGTACCATATTCAAAGTGAGAGCTGATATGATGTGTAAGTGATGAATGATCCATGGAGGATTTAACACACTGAAGGTATGATGAAGAATAGGCTTCCATAGGAGTTCTTCTGAGCACAGAAAGATCTAGAACCCAGCTGAAGGGCTGTCCACACTGAGAGTCTTCAATAACTTCACTGACATTCTCTATTGTATGCCTTCTGTTGAAAACCAGCAACAGTTAAATATTATATATTTGTTAGTTTCCACAATACTAGTCACAGTAAAAATGTTCTTTTTGTTTACCTTGAATTATTTCACGGTTCATATTAAATTATCTGACAAAGATGCTACCATTATTCTCATTCCATTTCTACCCCTTTGGTTATTTCTAATTGTATATAAGTGAAATATGTTTTAATTATTCAGTATTTCACATACTTATGAACTCACAAAATGGGAAGGTCATCAGTCAAAATAACCCTAATAGTAACAGGTTTGAGTTGTGTGCACCACAAAAGTTACAACCCATGCATGTGTTTCTGTTCACATACTGTCAGTTACAAAGTTTCATGTCAACCTGTACATATCCAAAAGTATAGGGGTGGAGTTTAGCCTGCAGGGCCCTGGGAACTTCCCCTTCTCTCTCCGCCTTCATTCTCCTGTTGGATGACCAGATTGCTGCCGGAATCACCGCCATTGGACCCACACAAATTTGCACCCACGGGCTTGTGATCTTCCTGCCTTCTGCATCACTGCATGTGGCTGTGTGAGTCTGAAGAGGGGCATGTGGACTAATATCAGACTTACGTACTTGAGTTGTACTGGGCTTGGATGTTTCCTTGATGTAATATTAATTCTTGATATATAGCTCTTTGTTCCACATATGAGTATCTCCAGACTTGTTTCTCTAACCCAGCCTAACACATTATGGTACCTGGGGTGGGTACCTCAGAAACACATCATGAAGATGGACAGTGGACGCTTGTCTGACCTCTGCCTTATGGTAGTTTTTCTTCGTTGGCTAGCCAGAGGTGAGACGGGCCACACTATTCACTGGGGTTGTTTCTGGGAAAGGCATGGGAAGTGAAAGCTTTGAGTCTTACAAGCTGTCTTTGGTTATGCCTTTCTGAAAGGGTGAAAATGAATGTGATTAATATATATTTAGCGCTCAGGGGGTGAAATCACCCCATGAACTTCTCTGGGCCCATGCTGCTTAGTCAAATGGCTGACTGAAGGTCTGGTCCAGGCTTGATGCAGGCAGAGGTCTAAGGCCATACTGCCTATGAATTGGGTAGTTTAGAGGAGAAAAGATTGCATTTGACTGCTTTAAGAATTGAGTTTAGGATCTAGCTATACAAGGATTATACTGATTTCTTCTATTTATTGTTATTGATATGTGATATTGATTGTGTGATAGAAATGATTATAAGTATGAATAGAGAGCGTTTGTAAGCTCACTGCCTTCACTATTAAATTGGTTCTAAGGAATGGGTATATATAGGAAATGCCTGTAAAAATGCATAGAAAAGGTATGCCCCACTAAGTGCCTCTGAGTGCTCAGTACATTTGCATTGGAAAAGACATGCCTGGAGAGCAATGGGCACAGTGAAGGGGACCAAAAAAAAAAAAGGAGCATTTGGCCTTTTTGAAATTTGAACTGGCCCTTTGCTCCTGAATCTGGAAAACTGTGTGAGTTTGGAGTGACTAGAGAATCAAATGCATAGACACTCATGTGAGTATAAGAAAGAGCTTACTATAAGGAGTAACTGTATATTAAGAAAACATCCCAGCCCAATCCAGATAAATCCCTAAGTCCAACTTTAACCAATATGTTCATACCAATCCATACAGTCCTCTCCAGACTCACGCAACACAAGCAATGACACCAAATGCTGGAAGATCACAGGTCAGTGGGTGGAAAGTCTTGTGGTGGTGGAAGTATCTAAGCACTGGCATATGTCTCCATGTAGCTCCTACAGTTCTGGGGCTCTGATTCCATCAGTGTGTTCCATGTGGCTTGTCAACAGGAATGTCAAAGCAGAGAGTGAAGGTGTAGCCTCCAATGAGCTACTTATCTCTGTAGCGCCTCAAATGAGGTCATCAAGCTGTGACCTGATTGACAAGCTAAATTCCACCCCTTCACTATTAATAGTCTCACGTTGACACCAGCTTACGTAACTACCACAGACCACCCTTTCTAAACTTGACATTTTCACACAACTCTCTAGCCATATATAATTTTCAAGCAAGCAGTAATAAAATCATATCTGTACCTAACAGGATAAAACTAAAATGCAAACAATTTAAAAATGTGCAACCCTCATCCAAATATAACATTTTATTAGTGAACACTTACACCATAATCCTATGAATATACTCCCCCAACTATGAGAGTTTGTAAGCCAACCACTTCATGCCTTTATCCTCCAATTTTGGGTATCCAATTTCTATACTGCCCTCTTACATCAACCCAGCGCCCTGAGGAGACAGTACAAATCTTTAATGTGAAGAATCTTCTTTCTAGTTGGAACCTTGTTAAGTCTGCATCCATAAGCAAAGTCAAATTAAGACAGGCCATCCAAAAACTTGGCAGCAATATGCATCAGTTCACATGCTCAAAAAATCTCTCCATCTGGTCATGTTCTGGTCAACTCCATGTGGGCTGCCTCACTTAGCCTCAACATGGTGCCCATTGGCTGCGTTGCCTTTAGACCAAGGGACTGGTCAAAAATCCTCAACAACCCTAGCCCCCTTGGGCTAGGTCTGAAACTTCAAACCAGTTAACCGGCTCTTGTCTTCTCTCCTCTAGTCCCTATGAACCAGGCACATGGGGCGGAGGGGCCAGACTCAACCCTCTACTGCTGAGTTTCTCTCACTTCCACTCAACAAGTGGATCTAGGTTGTCTCCTAGCAAGCATTCCTTTAGAGGCTTCCTTTAATGTTCAGTCTCAGAGAGTAGAGTTTCTTTGTGGCTCAAAGTATTTTCCAGCTAATGGCACAAACCACTAGTTCAAAATTAAAAAAGCCAAAGAGTTCCTTTTTCCTTCAATCTGCCAACAGCCCCCTAGGCAAATCTCTTCACCTAAGGTCCTGAGCACTGAGGACACCGGTGGGGCATATCTGTTTAGAGCCTTCTTTGCAGGCCTGTCCTAATTTACTCAAATTCCAATTTCATGGCTGAAGGCAAGTAGTCTTACAAACTATTTTTACTTCCCAAATATCATTTCTAGCCATCAATATACTAATAACAACAGGCAGGTCTTCACACAATTCTTAAAGCAGCCAAGTTCAATCCTTATCTATCTTATCTTAATCCTTATCTAAACTATTCCATTGATACAAAGTATGGCATTAGAACTCTGACTGAATCAAGCCAGGCCCAGGCTTTCTGTCAGCCATTTTGACCTTCTGTCAGCTATTTTCATGCAGCAGCATGGTCTCTAAGAAACTCAAGCAGCAATTTCACCCTCTGAGCTCCAAATATACATTAATCACACTCATCTTTGCCATCTGAAACAGGAATAACCAAAGGCAACAACCAAAGAAGGGAATCAAAACTTTACCTTCTTTCCAGAAAACAACCCAGTAACCTGCACGGCCATATCTGACCTCTGACTAGCCAAAGAAGAAAAACTACCCTGAGGCCGAGGTCCAGCAAGCGTCCACTCCCCGTCTCTGACTTGTTCCTCTAGCACCCCACTCCCAAGGAAGAGGGACTTATGGACCACGATGGGACTTAAGGACTTGAGTTGAACTGGGCTGGGATGTTTCCTTGATGACATAAAGCTCTTTCTTACACATGAGTGTCTCTGGGTTTGTTTCTCTAGTTAAACCAGCCTAATACACATACATTACAGGGGATTCTAAAAGGTCTTAGAAAATTAAGATTATATTTTCATTTACCACTAACTTTTTAAAGATTTCTCTGATACAAACATTTTAATGTCATGATAGCATCTTCAAACTCTCTTTTGAAGCACTGTTCTATCTCAAGTGAGTGACAACTCACCTCACAGACGCAGTCTGGTCTTTATTCTGATCTTCAGTGACATGCAATTCACAGATTTCTCCTACCACAGAGGACCAGGTGTCATTTTTCATGAATTGTACTACTGTATTTTCAGTGGACAGCTTTTCTCCATCATCAAGGTTTTGAGAAACTGAAAAATGATTTGTTAAAATTTAAAAGAAAAGCAAAACAGAAAGGGAATACTCAGAGTGAACAGGTCATTTAATAAAAAAAGATTTTAATGCATTTTCCTGTCTCAGAACTTTCACAGTGGTCAAAAAGCAACTCCCCAAGACATACTACCGTGAAGACTGAGACTGACAGTGACAGAAATGGAAAACAATGGGAAGAACAAAGTAGACAGGCATTTGACACAATCCTCACGGAACATGATGAGAGGAATGAGGCCCAACGTCCTCTGTGAGCGCTGCTGTGCTGGGATGGGTGCAAGTCAGAGAAGCAAGCTCCGTCTCTGAAGGGCATATGCTCCACCCAAAAGAGCCTTTTCAAACGGACTTCTTTATTCCGTTTGCATAAAGATCTCATTCCCTCCATGCAGGCCTGGTCCTTCGGAGGCTTCTTCCCTCCTGCAGCCCCCACCAGGGCTGCATGCACTCTCCTCAGGTCTTCCTCTGGCTACTCTGGGACAGCACATGTGTGTGGCTGACCTGCTGCTCATGGATAAGACTGTTCACCAGGGAAGACAGCAAGAGGCGAGGAGCGCTTTCCTGACACGGAGCCACGGCTTTGTCAAGGTGTCCAGAGTGTGGGGAGATGTAAATTTCACTGTAACACAACTACCTGGTCAGACATGTGACAGGCATAGTAAGCCTCAATGCAAGGCTCAGACTACAAATATTCTCTCTGTGCACCAAAGAAAGTGCTATAATCAATGTTCAGGCTGACAATAGTACAAAAACCTTAAAGCTTTAAATCATAATTGAAATAAAATGTCCATTTAATACACAGAGCTCTATATTCACAGGGAAGCCGTGACATGATGCTCCACAGGACAAATGACCACATTTGTAGTACAGTGTACACTCAAGTATAAGCCAAGTTTTTAAGCACATTTTTAATGCAGTTTTTGAGGTAAAATTAGGAGCCTCGGCTGATATTCGGGTCGGCTTATATCAACAGAGTCCCATTACTGGGCCTACACTGTGAAGTACCAACAACGGGTATGCCACATGTGGTCCCAGAGAAGGTGATTTTTAAAAAGAAGTCATCCATACCTACTGAGGCCAGGTTTCTGATGGTTTCCATCATCACGTCTCTGTAGAGTTTCCTCTGGGAAAGATCCAGCAAGGCCCACTCTTCCTGGGAAAAGTTCACAGCCACGTCCTCAAGGTCCAGCGAGTACTGAAACATCCCACAAACTCTGGTTCAGCAAGTTACCTAGTAGATCTCAAGTAGGGAGAAATGTCTTGAGAATGATGATGGCAACATATGTACAAATGTGCTTGACACAAAGGATGCATGGATGGATTGTGGTAAAAGCTGAAAGAGCCACCAATAAAATGACTAAACAGCTCCAAAAAGTTATCATATAGTTCAGTGTGTGAAAGGAGGGGAAGGAGGAGAGTCCTGGGGAACTGAGATTTCGTAGGGATTTGACGCGATGTTCAGTGTCCTACTAATTCTAACCTAGGGTTGAGCAATTGCCAATCCCTCACTGTCTAGGTTTACTTCAGTGCCGATTACATGGCATCTCAAACACTTAATAATTCTCTTAATACAGTGAGATATCTCCCCACAGTTTGACTGTGGCCTTTTGCAATCTTATTCCTCTCTACTGTGATGGTTTAGAAAAAAACACTCAGAACACAACATAAATTAGATAACTGCTCTAATACTTAAACCTTATGCCTACATTCGATCATCTCTTCCACTAGTGAGGGAAGGGGGTCCTGTTCACCTATTTCCACAGGACCAAGTTGAATGTTTATGAGAACATGAATTACACAGGAAGCAGGATGAGATGTTAACAAGTAGGAAGCACCTCAGACAGACAGAAACCCAGACAGCGCACAAATACAACCTTGTTACATGATGACATGAGAGTGGCCAGTCTCAGAAGAACCACAACAGCAAGGCCTTGTGCTGCTGACCATGCGTTTTAGTAAGTTCCCTGAAGCAGAGGCTTTGGCTGCTAAACTGTACATGAACATCAGGAAAGGGAGACTTACACACCAGTCAGTGAGATATTCCCATCCGTAATTTTATCATGTTTTCAGTCTCAGAACAGGCCCTTCAGTCTCTCTAGGAAGTTGACTACTGACACAGCAAGTGAGCCAGAGGAATGACAGGACGCACTCACCCTTTGATGTGTGGGTCCCTCACGAGTCTCTGGGTGGCATCGGCGGTTAAGCCTTCAGCCACCAAAGGTTTGAGGGTGAAGGCAAGAGAGTGGCTGAAAAATGAGCCACTGAGAGTTCTATGCAGTGCAGTTTTACTCTGAAATGCATGATTTGAAATGAAGCATGAGGGCAAAAGATTGTTTTTAATCAAATACTTGTTTTATTGGAATAGTTTATTTCTATGCTAAAGCCAATTGCAATATATTAGCTTTAGTTATGAGAACGTAACATTAGAATACATCCACAAGTCCTAAGCAAACATCATCAGATACAGAAAACTCTTCAAAAGATTAACAGAGGCGGGGGGAGGGAGGATTTAGCAAACAACGCCATAGACAGGGGAATAACTGGGGAATTAAAATCAACAAGGAGGAGGACATAGAGATCCTTGGGGTGTTGGAGCAATAGCAATCTAGCAGAGAGGGGTTACTAAGAGGCAGAAGGGCGAGCATGATGGTGGGACATGAGGAAGGTAAAAGGAAACAGGAAACATCTAGGAAGCAAAGCTAGGGTTACAGGTATAATAAAAACAGGTGTGTACATATGTAAATATATTAATTCCTACAAATAGAGGTATTGGCCTATGTACATGTATTTATAGGGCAATACATTGCTATAGTGGATGGAGTTTGGGCCCCTGCTCAAGACCTCTCTCAATGCAAGAACACTCTGTTCTAACAACCTTGCATTCTGTGATGATCACCCTCCCGGCACGATTGATAAGACAAAATGGGTGCACAAAAAAATGTGGTGAAGAAGCGGATGGTGCCCGGCTATCAAAAGATATAGTGTCTGGGGTCTAAGTCTTAAAGGCTTGAAGTTAAACCAGCGGCAATGTATCAGAGAACCAACAAGCCCACATGGAAGAAGCACACTAGCCTGTGAGATAATGTGTCCACAGGATCAGGTCATAGGTATCAGAAGACCCAAAACAAACAAACAAACACATTGCTGAGAACAAGGGGAGTAGGAGCAGAAACCTAAAACTTATCTGCAGACAATAGTGCATCCCCTCACAGAAGGGTCACAAGGAAGGGATGACTCAAACAGGGTGCAGTATTGTGCCGATGATACACACACCCTCCACTATCTTGACCCCACTTCCCTTTCACTTCGGGGTAGAACACTGGTACAGATAAGAACTCAGAACACATGGAATACAGAGCAGATAAACCCCTCAGGAACAGAAAGGGGAGTAGTCAAACCCTGAAGGTAGGGGGAAGGAGGTGAAAAAGGGAGAACCAATCACAACGAATGACATACAACCACACCACAGTCCCCTAGGGGGACAAAAACAGAAACTGTGGGGAATGGAGACAGCAGGCACTCTTAAAATATGAAAATAATAATAATTTATATTTATCAAGGGGTCACAAGAGTTGGAGGGGGGATGGAGGGAAAAAGAGGAACTGGCAACAAGGGTTTAAACAGAAAGTAAATCTTTATAAAATATAAAAATATGCTTCATACAATTTTTGTATGGATTCTTGTAAGAATAGTAAGAGTCCCCACTAAAATAATAAAGAAGGAAGATTAACAAAGGGAAAACTGACAAATTCAACTATGTTAAAATTGAAAGCAGTATTTCAAACAGCAACAAAAATGAGTGAGGATATCCATATACACCAGGGTAAAAATGTCCAAAGTTTATCAATCCACCCTAAAAATTCACAGAGGATTAATTAACATGGGAAAACAAGCCCAGCCTTCCAGTCGTGGAGCAGTTTAAGGGACTTGAAGGATGAAATCAAACAAGAACAAAAGTGTATCCCTGACTACTGGTCTCCCAGGTTCTACAGGAAGGAAGGTCTGGGTCCCCGACTGCACCCACCAGCCTGTGGCTCGCCTGCTTCCTGTTCATCAGACTCCCCGACTGCATGAGTTACAAGTTCATACACATTTTGTACAAGAATATGGACATTGGGCCTCGACTCAAGTACTCCCTCAACACAAGAATACTTTGTTCTAACAACCCAGCATTCCCTGATGCTCACCTTCTCAACACAATTGCTGAAGACAAAATGGGTGCATAAGCAAATGTGGTGAAGAAAGCTGATGGTGCTCAGCTATCAAAAGATACAGCATCTGGGGTCTTAAAAGGCTTAAAGATAAACAAGCGGCCATCTAGCTCAGAAACAACAAAGACCACATGGAAGAAGCACACCAGTCTGCGTGATCACAAGGTGTCCATGGGATCAGGTACCAGGCATCTAAGACCCAGAACAAAATCATACCCAATGTGAATGGTGGTGGTGGTGGTGGTGGGTGGGAGGCGGATGGAGTGTAGACCCAACGCCCATCTGTAGACAATTGGACATCCCCTCACAGAGGGGTCACAGGGAAGAGATGAGCCAGTCAGGGTGCAATATAGCACTGAGGAAGCACACAACTTTCCTCTAGTTCTTTGGTGCTTCCTTCACCCCAGTATCATGACCTTAATTCTACCTTACAAATCAGATTAGACCAGAGTTTGCACACTGCTATAGATAAAAGCATGCAACTGAGGGAATCCAGGATAGATAAAGCCCTTAGGGCCAACAAGGAAAGTCAAGATACCAGGAGGATTAGGGGAGGGTGGGGGGAATCTATCACAAGGATCTATCTATAACCGCCTCCCAGGGGAACAAATAATGGAAAGTGAGGTGTGGCGTAGGATGATGTAAGATATGGAAATAATCTATAACTAAGCAAGAGTTCGTGAGGGAGGGAGGGAGATCAGGGGGGGAGGGGGAAGAAATGGGAAGCTGATCTCAGGGGCTCAAGTGGGAAAAGAATGCATTGAAAATGATGATGGTGGCATATGTGTAAATGTGCTTGACTCACTGGATGAATGTATGGATTGTGATAAGAGATGTAAGAGCCCCCAATAAAAGTATTTTTTAAAAATTGCCTCATTACAAAAGCATGTGGAACAAATATATATATATATACACATTTTCTAGAGCAAAATCTGCAAAATACATGGCCTCATTTAGTAAACTTTAACTTCGCAACAACGCAGCAATTCCCCTCACTAGAAAATGACTCCCAGAAAGCCGTCTTAGCCCCTCCTTCGACAAGACGGCGACACTGGTTCCACCAGCCAGTGCTCCTCCTGCCACTCCTGTCACAGCACTGGATGCAGCAGTATCTCCTGGTCCCAACCCATGCCTGCATCCAGCCCCAGCTCCAGCTCAGACTGAGCTCCTGAGTCATCATCTGACAGGAGAGCAGTACTGGCGATGGCAGCAGAACTCAGGCTCAGTGCAAGCCCCAGTGCACGTTGGCACCTCTGCCACCTTGGCCTCCACTCCCAGGGCCCTTTCCTGGTGCACGTGGTCATTTTATCTTCTACCGTGGGCAGCTTTGAAGGAAGCAACCAGGGTGCTGCCCCAGTTATTGGGACCCTGCTGGGCAGTGTCCATGAGCATTCAGTGGACAGTAGCAATGCTTTTCAGTGGCTCACAATGAATCTGAACAAGAAGTGTCTGTTGACGTGGAATTTGCGAGGAACATGTAAGGATTGCACGAGAATGTCTGTCCGAATGAGTTCCTGGGCTGGTACACCACAGGCCATGATATCACCGAGCACTCTGTGCTGATCCATGACTACTACAGCCCAGACGCCCAGCCTCATTCACCTCACTGTGCACACCAGCCTCCAGAATGGCCACATGCGCATCCAAGCCTCTGCCAGCACTCCAGGTGGGCATGGGGGTGATGTTTACATCTTTGACCATGACGTAGCATATTATGACACCAAATGTATCAGAGTGCCCTGATTATGAAGACCTGTTCTAGCCCCAATTCAGTGATCAGGCTTTGCAGTGACTAGCAGCACCTCGGAGTGCGTCAGCCCGCATCCAGGATGCCCTAAGTAGAGTGCTGCAGTGTGCAGAGGATGTGCTGTCTGGAAAGGGGTCTGCTGACAATACCGTGGGCAGCGTCTTGAAGTCTCTGCTTAGCCAAGTACCCAGAATTGTTCTTCCTGATGCCTTTGAGACCATGCTCAACAGTGACATCAGAGGCCCGGTGGTGGGGACCTATCTGGCCAATCTTACACGGTCTTGTCCACCTGTGAATAAGTCCCAGGAAACACTCCTGACCCTCTGGGCCCCAAACCCAGGACTCAGAATGGAGTGACGGTGAAATGTTTCTTGAGTCACAGTGAATCAGGCAACTGATGTGACTAAATAAAGAGTCTCCCTTTCAAAAAGGAAAAAAATGAATGAGTTTGGAGATTTTGAAGAGAATGGAAAGAAACAGAGCAGTGATATTTCCCAGAGCAAAAGTTACTCTTGAGCCACCGAAACCGTGTAAGCAGATCTGCAATAGGTAGGTACATTCATGCAACGGAAGCATATATACGTGGCAACAGGGGTAGACCAGAGCCACGGTCACCAGCACGTATCAAACGCAAAAGCATCCTGAAGAAAACACATAACTAAGTCAGACACGAATAACAATTAAGTTTACAAAGAGGTAAACTAATCAGCATAAAGCTGATGGATTAAGATTGGGTGCTGCGGTGCTGCCCACTTCTTAGACACAATGAAACAGCTCTTGAGATTGACTTCCTGGGTTTGTAGGCCAGGACCAGAGACTCGTGGGACATCTTAGTCAGCTGTATCAGACAGCTCTACAACTGTATGCTCTGCACCCCAGTTTGCGGAGTCAGTGCCTCGGGTCTTAAAAGCTTTTGAGTGGCCAGCTAAGGAACAACTCCTGCGATTTATTCATCTGGAGCTACAGAGGTAATAAAAAAAAAAAAAACAGCCAAAAACTCAAAAGAGACTATAATCTATTGTACTAACTGTCTACAAGAACCACAGCTTCACCTACCCTGAGACCAAAAGCAGTAAAGCAGATGGTGCTGGTTACCGTTCTGATTATGGCTGTAATGGATGGGTCTTGATGGAATGGGAGCAAAATGTGGAACGGAATGTCCAATTCACATAACACAAAATAAACCAAAAAGAACAGCTCTACTGGACAAGCTCAGAATGAAGGCCTCCATTAGATTATTGCCATGAGATACTGTTTACAATTCAAACTGCAATGAGTCCCTGCAGTCTTGGCTGAAATAGGCTGATTAATTAAAAAAAAAAAAAATCACCTTATAAGACCAAATGACCACAATAATTTTATAAAGCGATGAAGTTGTAAAAGGGCAAGAAAATGAGATTCATGGAAAGTGAACAACCAGAGCAGAAATATTGAGACTACTGATGAATTGTGAAGACTGTAATCAATCTCATAGAACTAATTGTGTAGAAGTTGTTGAATGGGAACTAAAACTGCTGTGGAAACATTCACTCGCACACACAGACACAATCACAGAAAGATGACAACATAGTACGTTGTTATGAAAATAAAACAACAAAACAGTTTAGGGTCAATTATAACAGTAAGAATCCTAGCAAAAGTAAAGTCATCAAATGCCAAATGCACATGTTAATAATCTTCAGACAGGAAGGACAAGAGTTCAGATTTGAACACACTGGGAGGCCATAAAAACTGACAATGCCTACGTATCATCAGAAATCCAGATTCCTGTTATTTAAGCCAGACATGGACAGTAGGTACACTGCTTATGATAAGTTGCTGTTGTTAGGTGCCATCAAGTCAGCTCAGACCCACAGTGACCTATGCACAAAACATGTGACAGCCTCACAGTTGTTCCTATGACTGAGCCCAAGGATGCAGCCTCTGTGTCAACCCATCTCGTTGAGGACCTTCCTCTTTAACACGGAACCTCCACTTTACCGAACCGATGTCCTTCTTCAGGGACTGCCTCTCCTAACAGCATGTCCAAAGTATGTAAGACAAAGTCTTGCCATCCTTGCTGCTAAGAAGCACTCTGGTCTTACTTCTTCAAATACAGATTGGTTTCTTCGTTTAGCAGCCCAGGGTGGTTTCATTCTTCTTCTTCAGTACAATTCAAATGTTTCCATTCCTCTACAGTCTTCCTTATTCAATGTCCAACTATCACATATATATCAGGTAATGGCAAGGTCCGGGGCACCTTAGTCATCAAGGAAATATCCTGGCCCTTTAATATTCTGAAGCGATCGTGTGCAACATATTTACCTAATGCAACTCCACTTCTACTCTGTTGGCTATTGCACTCATAAGCACTGATTATTGTGGCTATAGCCAAGACAAAAGCCTGGACAATTTAAACTGTTTCTCCATTTCTCATGATGTTATCTACAAGTCCAGCTGTGAGGCTGTTGGTGTTGCCTACACTGAGTGGTAATCCATACTGAAGCTGCAATCCTTGATCTTCATCAGCAAGTGCTGCAATTCCTCCTCACTTTCAGCCAGCGAGGTTGTGTGATCTGCATATCACAGGTTATTAATATGCTTTGCTCTAACCCGGGTGCCACATTCTTTTTCAAACAACCCAGCTCCCCAATGATCTGCTCAGCATACAGACTGAACAAGTATGGTGAGAGGATACAACGGTGACCCACACCTCGCCTGATTTTAAACCACGCAGTATTCCATTGCTTGCGCAACTGGCTCATGATCTATGTACAAGTTCCTCATGAGCACCAGGAAGTGTTCCAGAATTCCATACTGCTCAAGGCTATCCACAGGTGATTAAGGACCACTCAGTCAAATGCCTTTGCATAGTCAATGAAACACAAGGAAACACTTTTCTGGTATTCTCGGCTTTGAGCCAAGAGGCTCAAACATAAAAGTCATTGTGAAGATGGCACTGGACGCCAAAAGGTCGCGATGGGTCTGGACAACCTGGATGGCGCGTAACAATAACACATAGGTATAAATGCTCTAGGATATTTTGTGAATTAAAAAGCAAGTGTAATACTAAGCTACCCTTTGTATAATAGAGGAAGACAAATGACATGATTTACTATTACATTTTTCTTTAGGTCAGTTCAAATACGCATTCACCTGTTTCAGAATCTGCACCTTTAAACTGAACACTTCTCAGTAGAAACGCAAGCTAATCTAGAAATTTTCTTGCAACGAAACCTGTAACCCGAGAGAATAAATACATCATTTGACATGTTGAGCTCATCACGAAGAAAGGACCGCGATCTTATTCATTCCCACTCCAGACTGAATACAGCAGATGAAAAGTAGAGACAACACCAGCTCTAGGCAGAAATGGTCGGAGGACTAATCCTTAGATGGGAACAACAAGCTCCTCACACACCTGAAAGCCTCCGGGAAAAAGCATCCTCCCTTAACAGGTGGATCTGGAGAACTCCCACATGCGCCAGCAGGGCTCCCTGCCAGCTGCAAATGTTTTCATTGGAGAATTCATGAGGACCAAGCCCCGCCCCTGGACCCTATTAACAATCAGCACTTTATCCCACTGACTCTCTCCCAGCTTAGCTACCACACCACACAGGGGCAGAGGTGGAACTGTGGTTGGGGCAAGAATGGCTCTGCTGGGCCTTGGACTCAGCCTCCTCAATCAGGGCAAATCCATCTTCAGGCTCTAGTACATGGTCCTGTCAGTGAAAAAAGAGGACTAAGGGGCAGGATGGGGCCATGTCAGCCCAGAGTCATAGGTCGAAGGTGATCGCAGGCATGAAAACCCATGTATGTGTACAGAAAATGTTGAGACATGGAAGTGGGAATCCAAGATCACTCATAGGGTTGAAGCCTTGGGCCTCTCAAACTACTCTTAAACCTCAGAGAAGAATCCCAGGGCCCAGAGTGCACAGCCCCCAACAATTCCATCTAGCCTTGCTGCTTCCAGTTACACAGCCCCAGGTCTCTGTAGCACTCACCATTTCCTGGCTACAGCTTCTGGAGGTGCAAGTGAATGTGCTCTCTAAGCACAAGGAGTCTCTCTAGGAAGAGGGCTGCTAGTGCAGGCAGAGCCACTGGGCAGTCTGGAGGCAGGTGAATGATGTTTGGTCCACAGACAGGCAGAGCAGAACGAACCCTTGCTTGGAATTTCATGAAAGTCCAAAACGGTTGTCCTTGGTCTCCAGCTGTCTAGACTCGACTGGCTCTCTGTTCACCTAGCCTGGGACCTGAAATGGAAGGTGACAGTGTTAAGGAGGGAGTGCCAGGGTCTTACCCAGCTGTTGCCCTGGGCAGAGCTTCCTCCCAGGGTAGACCTGTCTACACACTTGACAAGGAGCCATGTCTCAAAGATCTATTAACCTAAAAGTCAACCAATGGAACCCACCAGCTGCCCCACTGGAGAAAGGGGTTGCAGTCGGCTTCCATGAGGACGCACATCCCTGGAAACGCTGTGCGGCAGGAGTCTGTTGACTTGGTTTCATGGGGTCACTAGAGGTCAGAGTAGACTCTATGGAAACAGGTTTGAGTTTCTATATACGTGGCTCAATCCAAACAGATGCATGTTTATCCTGCCTCCTATCATATTGTGAAAATAACACTAACACCGACAACACCAACATTACAAACTCTTATAGATGTGTTTTTAATGTGAGTTACCAAGGACACACAATCACTTTTTTGTAGATTATCCAAGAAGGGCTGGGTGTGCTTGTATTGAGCTAAGAGAGGTTAGAGAAGCCATCAGGAACTGGATCATGCAAGCAGGGAATCAAAGCCCAATGCCCCACATGAAGGTTCAGAATTCTACCACTGACCCCTCAGTCCCACCTCAATTTCTGAGACTCCACGAAAGTTCCACAAAGAAATTGTTAACTTTGATGACAGCCATCCCAGTGGGCCTCAAGCACTATCTCATTTGGGGGTTGACTTGTATTTCCCTGATCACTACAGACTTGGCCATCTTCTGTGCTTATTGACTCCGCAGCAACTGAGGAGCGTCCATATATTTACCTCAAACCGGTTGTGTGTCTTCTATGCAGACAACATTCATACAGGTTCCTTTATTGTGCCAGTGTTTATTCATTGTTTGTTGGTTTTGAGGTGTAGGAATTTACATATTCTCAATAGTAAACCCTCAATGGACATGTTTCCCAAATATTACCACGATCTGCAGTTAGTATCTATGATTCCTGGATAAAGCCTCTGATTTGGATCTGGGGGAGGGGTGGGTCCTTGTTTCTCAGAGTAGAACATCACTCTGTAGGGATCGCTTCAGCTGGGCATTTTGGAAGGAATCTCCAGGCCTTTCTTCTTACTTACTTTCATCTTCTTTATGTCTTTCGATAACATGTCACAGTTTTCCATGCACAAGTTTCCCCTCCTGTTTAAAGTTACTCCCAGGTGTGTGGCACCACCCACCCTGCCGTTTTAGACACTTCTAAATGGAAGGGTTTCCTCAAGACCCTTTAAAGCTCTTCGTTGGTGTATTGATCTGAAGCAGATTTTTGCACATCATACCAACTTCCACAATTTTGCTGAGTTCATTTATTAGCCCTAATGCTTGGTAGAATCTTGGGACTCTTTTACGTATAGGATATATCATCTGCAAATATGGATTGACCTTCAAAATGGAACCACAGGTGCAGGTATGAAGGGCAGAGCCATGTAAATAAGGAGCCACAGCGAGAGGGCCCATCACCAGGGAAGGAAACTCAGTTGTTATGACCGGAACGGACCCCATGGCAGCAAACAACAACGTCACAAATGCAGAGCTGCTGATAATGCCTTCCTGAAACGATTGTTCTTGCTGTGCTTTAAAGAGACTGGTGTTCTGTTTCAAGCATTCCTCCTATGACTGTTATTGCCACTGTGCTCTAAGCGCTCGCTTTCCTCTCTCACCACTGTATGCACTGATGAAGTTGCTCCTGTCAGGTGGTTAGTGGATGTTAGGAGTCACACTGTAGTTTCTGGCTCAAGGAGGCAAAGATTTCAGTATTAGACGATGCCTTAGGTCGGCTCCTGTTCTTTTCTTGGTTTGTTATAATTTTCCAGATGTGCCCCAGGCTCATCGTGGACCCTTCCTGCCTCAGCCTCAGAAAAGCAACAACATCATGGCTCAGGATGCCTGAAATGGCTAATTCAGGAAGGATGGGGTTGTACTCAAGGTCAAAAATCTCATTTCTAGGTCATACCTGAAGTGCTGTTGTCTGTGATAGGATAATACACATATATTTACAAAGAAGATCAGTTCATACAAACTCACCAACCACTAAATGTAGTGCCCACGATACTGAAGAATTCCACCAACATGAGACGTGGGTGGGGAAAGGGAGAGTCAGTGAGGAGAAATCTTCTCTGATATCTGGGATTTCCTATACATGAGAGTTCATAAGGAAGGTGGCCAGGCCTGCTCTTCTGAAATAGGGAATGTTGAGGCAGAGGCTGGAAGCAAAGGAATACTGAAACTTTTACAAATGGAGTTTAGGTTTCTTATACTAGGGCTTTGAGCCCCACAATGTCAGCCTAACCAGGGGGATGGGCGGCAGGTAGAGGGCTAGAGACCAGCCACATGGACCACAATCCAATCAATCATCCCTAGGAGAAGAAAGACAACTGTGAGCCCGGACACACATGTAAGCATGCTGTGTTGGCGATAATCCTTGGATACTGTGACACCATCAGTGCCATCGGGCACACCCTGACGGTGAGGAAGCTTGATATTTGAGAGCCTTAGAGGAGATAGGTGGGCCTTTTACTCTAGTAAAGAGCCTCAGAAAATCAAAGAGCCTACCCTGGCCTGCAAGGTTGTTATTATTCGGCATCAACTTGATGGTAGTGAGTTCCACTTTGGCATTTACAAGAGAAAGACAAGGCTTTCCACTCCTATAAAGTTACAGTCTGGGGAACTCACAGGGGCACTTCTACCCTGTCCTGTAGAGTCACCATGTGAGAACTGCAAGATTCAGTGAGCTTGCTTTGCTTTGATTCTGCTTTACTCTCTGTCCTATGTGTCTCTTCTTTGACTGGTTCTTTTCTATTTTCCCTCTAAAAATGGAACCAAGCTGTGATAGGTTTCAGCAAGTTCTGAGAATTTCTACATGGAACTGGAGGGTGGTCTCTGTAAACACCCTAACCTGCAGTTGGTTTCAGAGTCTCAGACAGATTTGGCCACTAGTTCCCTTAACCTCAGTTTAGGCTCTGACTCTCAATACCATTGAGCCGATGAAACTCAGCACACCTACAGGACTGGGTAGAACTGCCCTGTGGGTTTCTGAGACTCTAACTCTTTACAGGAGTAGAAGGCCTTTTCTTTCTCCTAGGAAGCAACTGGTGGTTTTGAAATGCTGACCACTGGATTAGCAGCCAATGTGTGACCACTATGCAAACAGGATTCCTCCCAATTTTGGTTAACTATGTTATTATTTTACCCTCAGTTGTACTTAATTTAATGTTCCTTAAGATAAAATGTAAAAAAGATTCAAGGAGGCACATTCACACAGATTACAAAAGAAATCAACAGGATTACTCATTAGCACATCCTGATGCAATAAGAACCTACAGTAACACAGTCCCTTCATTTTCAGCCTACCTCTGATACACAAACGCACGGAGGAGATTTCCTCATCAAAGATGACGGTGTCTATATGTCACACAGTCTGAGGGATATAGCGACAACTTCAAGTCATAAATGCACGGGAGCTTTAAAAAGGTTGAGGAAGAACTTAAAACAAAAGAATGGAATTTCTCCATTAACTTTTGGAAGCCACTGCACACATGTTCCTAATATATTATGTTAAACAGAACATTCTGTGTAATGAATGTTACATAATTCCTTTAACATTATGAATAGAAACATGTTCAGGATAACTGATCTTGCATGATAATTTTTAAAAACCATAAAGATTCTGTCTTGTAAAAATCCCTAGTAAACTGATACTGTTTTCATGCCACAGATACTGAACAGAGTGCAGTCAGTCTACACCACGGCCAAATATATCACACAGACCCTGCGG